CTCCTGCCAGAGCCGAGACGCGGACCTCCGGCCCGCTTTTTTGTACTAGAGGCAAGGACGTGTCCCATACAGCTCGGCCCTCACGGACCGCTTCACAGCGCCTCTCTTGAAACACTAGAAAGCTTACAACATAAATGGCCTCGGTTCGATCCCCAGGCCTGGCTTTTCTCTGCATTTTTTGTTAGCGCGCGCCCGACCCCGTCTGCGCAACTTGAATTATTGAAACGCAAAAAGGTGATAACGTAAGCTACTTCATGATGCGAACACTCATTGGTATGTCAGCAGCAAATCATGGATGGATTCCATGTGTGAGAATCCATATCACCATTACAAACATAGTCTGTATCATCTTTTTTACCATCGACCTCGTCATTATCCCACTATACCACCGTTGAAGTCATCATCTGTACTACACAGGTTATCTGTATTATCTAGTATATGTATTATCTATTTATCTATCATCTAGTATTATCTGTATCTACATATCTGTACATATCCACTGGGACTGTCCCATCATCCATAACCGTTTCACCATCCGTGTAGCCATCATCCGTATCAAAGTTGGAATATATATTCGCTCTCCTCAGTTGTGCTTAGGAGCTTTCTCACTTATTATAGCAGTTTATATACAAATTCGGCCACCAGTGTACAGAACCTGATAAGAAATTCCCAAGCCTTTCCCAGAATTCTTATATTGTCACCGACGCAGATTGGTTGACCACGTGCATATATTCCTACACTTACATAAGTATCATCCATATTCTTATCCATATAGTCATCAATAATGATTCATCATCCGCATGAATATTCCCCATACGGTATGGGCCATACCAGTATCCATATAATCATCATCCGCATAAATATCTCCCATATCCGTATCCGTAGCATCATCTTTCTTAATAAGTCGGTAATTGATCTCCCAATCAGCACCATGATGATCCTCTCAAACCTGCAGTTGTTGCTTTCGAAGCGTATGTTCTCTCTTATTCCTCATCCGAATTCCGATCAATGGCTTATCTACAACAAAATGTCAGCAGCTATTACGAATAGCCATCGCGAACGGTCTTTCATTGTAACGGGCTATGCGGGGACCGGAAAATCACATGTCGTCCACAAGCTGATTAATTCTCTGCAAGGGTAATTTAGCGTTATAGTCCTCACATGGGCGGGTGTTGCTGCACGAGTTCTGAATGGTAACACTATGATGAGTTACTGTGGACTTCGCTACGATGACAGTGGCATTCCTGGCGATAACGGATATATGAGATGCACAGCAGAGCTTACACGGTGCATGACTACAGGACTCCGCCGAGCCAGATCATCTGAAAATAATGTAGTGCTAGTGATTGATGAACTGGCAGCCCTACATGGTACAGTGATTGACTCGCTCTCCGAATCCCTGAAGGAGCTGCGAAGTCATAAAGAGCATGGCTGCAGTCCGTTCGGTGGCCTACATACGATCATTGTGGGAGATGGCTGCCAGATAGGGAGGGTGGAGTTCTCAGAAAAATCCACACTGTGGATTTTTATTTTTCTGGAAACTGCGTGGGAGGATAGGCTGTGGAGTAATGACACTGGAATGATGGCAAAGCTGGCGAAGCTGTTGTATTCTTCGACGTTGTACCACGATTCTCCAGCCCACAAAGGCAGAGTCCATCACAGGTCGGCGAGAAGTCGGTCGAGCCCGTGGAACTTTACCGTGGATCTACACTGGGAAATACTGTGGGACGGTCTACAACATATGTACCTCCGGGGTCTCCGCATGAGAGCTACGTTGACGAGGTCTCGGCAAATAAGTCGCTGGAAGCCTTCCACTGCAGAGTGCGCTCGAAAGGGCGTGGTTATCTGAAAAAATATGGTGTGATGGTCAAGAGATTCGTGTGTCAATATCACTGCATGGAAGGATGGAAACGGTGCAGCCATTCAGCAATCATCAATCGTCGTCCTGATGGCTGGTACGAGGTTGAAGTCCAAACCGGGTTTCATGCTCCTCATGAACGAGATGCTGATCCCACAACGGGCCGAGCGCCGCAGACTTATCTCTGTAGAACTCCTCCACGAAATCGATAAGCTCAATGACAGTAATGCAAAACCTAAGAGAATACTGCGAGCACTCCGAAGACGGGGGTTGCTGAAGGGTATCAAGAACACGCTCAAGTGTATCAACAGCAGGCTCTATCAAACTCTGAACCGTTCGAATGCTTCGAACTCGAGGCCTCGCATCACTGCCTACTGCAACGAAAAGTCCACCATCCCCGACTGTATGTGTCCGCCATCTAAACAATGGCCCGTTGGTGATGACCTCACTGCGAGTGTTGATGGTCACAATCTTGCTACAGATGCTGATGATGACGACTTGGCTGCAAAGTTGGAGTGATGACTTGGCTGCAAATGTTGGTGGTAATGACTTGGCTGCAATGTTGGTATGACGATCACGCTGAAATATTGATGACACTTCTGTGGCCGATCAAGAACATGCCGGATGTTCTAGGAATCTGAGAACTATTTCAAATATTAAAGCAAATGTCGCTCTTCCGGAGAGCGGGAGTCCCGCTGCGGGACTGCTGCGATACGATCTAATCCGTCGATATCAGTGAATTCTCCCAGATGTCCGGCTACAATCGTCATCTGGTATACTATGATTCACGCGGAAACGCCTCTCAGGCTAAGGATGACTGATGATGATGGTCTGTTTGAACATTCCGGAGCCATTTGGAGAAGCTGGTGGCCTTATTCGACTCACGCATGTTGAAGCATGTAAGAGCTCCTAATTCAGATATCAGGAGAGTGGCATATGGACGAGCACATGTGGGGCCTTGAGGGCTGTTATGAGGTCCGATCTTCGGGCTACTCCATCCACTAGTAGAAACAGGCTCGTACTGATACTGAGATTACTCTACTAGAGTTAGTCGACCAGGACCTGGTCCAGACTGAGCGTGACACTACCTGGTCACCAGGTAGTGTCACACTTAGTGTGGACCGCACTACTAGTGTGGAGAGGACCAAAGACTCGCAGGTCTCGCTTCTAAAATCTCGGTCAGTTCACGGGACAGGTGCCCGATAAAGTGGTGCCGTACCAGCGACCCCATCTGACACGGGTCTGTTCAGTCACCTAGTCCACTATAGTAAAATCTGCCATTTGACAAGGACTTTCTCCTAGAATGCTTGGGCTCGTGAAATACCGTGACAGACTCGAATCATTGCTGCTAGAGCTGGCCTGAGCCCCTGGCGTCACGTACCCTTAGCTCAGTTGATGTACTCGGAGTCGCAAGATGCACCTTCTTCTGCGTAACGGCAGCACGTGCGAGCTCAGAAAATCTTACCTGTGCGCAGACGCATTTACAAGGATAAGTTTTCTAGTTCTCACCTGAGTTTGATTTGGTGATTCCAACTACCCGATCGTGTTACAGTAGTTGTCACTAATTACTTACACAATGACTACCTCTGACCGCTATGCTGCTATCAACAAGCTAGAGATGCCCTCTCCCATTGTCCCCCGCTCCGGTGGTAAACAACCCGTCGTGTCCCCGACTATGAACAAGGGCAATACTCTCGCTACTCCACTCAAGCATCAGCATTACTCGAGAGCCACCCCATGGACGGAGTCAACCATGATAGACGATCGTTCTTGGGTCGAGTCGGTTGACACTCCCGTTCCCACTGAAAGGGTCTCTCTTCTTACTATCACCCCGGCCGAGAGGTTCTATCCGGTCGTCCACGATGCAGCTACTGTTGCTTCTGTCCAAGACGACTACCACTCCCTCGTGAACAGCCTTCGTCAACAGTGCATTGGAGAGCAAGAGCAAATACCCTGTCCCTTGGACGGTACCACTAGAAGGCTCATGTAGGGTTTCACGGTGTGTTCGGAAGACCTCTCCTGAGCTACTGCTAGGATTGGTTTTAACATGTTCAAGTCGATCCTGGGGATGCTCTTGAAATTCAGAAGAGGTTTATTTAACATCAACACAGTTTCGCTACTCGCAGTGTTGGAATATATGTTTGCTTTTCTCAGCTGAACTCGGGAGTTTCCTCACTAATTATAGGAGTTTATAAACTACGAAAACCCTTGAAAAAATTTTCCTAAAAATTTTCATACTGTAACCGACACGTGTAGGTGACCATGTGCATATTTTCCCACACTGCTTATGCGTGCGTCTATCATCTCATCAGATACTGCGATTATACGGCATCAGGAAGAGCCCTTGAAAGCGTTGAAGACTTCATTGCGAATCAAGTCTGCCCGATGTGAACTCACCCTAGTCGCATGGAACTCATCATCCCATCTTAGGTACGCCAACACTCACTCCGTGGCCTCGGCTACTGCTCGGCAGACCGCCCACTTCCGAGAGGAAGCACGAGACCGTGTCAAGACATACTTCAACTGTTCTGATGAAGACTCAGGTGCTCCACTACTACAGCTTCTGTCCAACTCACGACTCAGCCATATTCTGCGGTGCTGGTGCCACCGGTGCTATTCGCAAGTTTGAAGATATGCTCATCAAGAGTAGAGTTTTTGCCCCGCCGTGCCGCGAGAAGAAACTCCGTAGAGCGGTGAGTTGACAATGTGGGAAAATATTCACATGGTCAACTACATGTGTGGCCGACAGTATGAAAATTTTGAGAAAACTTCGGGAAATTCTCATTGGTTCCTACTGTAGAAAAATGATCTACAAATTATCTAAAAGGTATCGATCTGTGTAGAAATTCTACACACTTCTACCCGAATTCGTATATAAACATTAAATTCGTGAGGAAACTTCAGAGCTCAGCTGAGGAGAGCGTACAGATCGAACACCGCCTTATGGTCTCCCTTTGTTTTCCCCATAGGTCGTAGTGGTCGATCCTGTAGCCCACCACAGTTCCCTACTTCCTTTTCGTGAGTTGACCCGCTTATATCCCCTCGGGAAAGGGGTCAAGTCCCGAGCTGGTGAGTATGAGGCAGTGCTGGAATATATGTTTGCTCTTCGCAGTTGAGCTCAGGAGTTTCCTCGCGAATTATAGGTGTTTGGAAATTCCCTCTGAATTTTCAGCATGTGTGACCAACACATGTAGTTGACCATATCTCCTCACACTGGCATTGGGTATAACCGTCGTCGTAGTGAATTAAGCCGAATTCAAGTATACTTGTAGTGAATAGAAGTAGTAGGTTTATGAATACAACTTACTTAGCTAGAACCTTTTATGTACGTGCTCTAGCGTCACGCTGAAATGACACAGCCAAAACAAAATTCGGAGACATATTTATAAAACAGGGACAATCCCTACAATATGCTCTCTTCAGTTACTGGGTCTCACGTAGATGTCTCGAAATCCCAGGCGTCTCCCGAGTTCATCGAAATAGAACTCGTGGTACCCACTGGGGTATATCCCCCTCCCTCCTGACCGTTTCATACAGGTCCTTCCTCTCGACGGTGTGAAAGGCATTGCGTCCATTGAGGCGCTCCGTGACACCCTGGAACAAGTAAGTCTCCTCGAGAGTCCCCAAGGTGTGTCACCGCCATATCTCAGGTAAGCATATTCAATCGTCATCATGGTGATGACTACGCGACCCCTGTGGTCATTCTATCGGCGTGCAGTAACGTAACGGGAGCATGTCAGGACGTGAGCGACCGAATTCATCTACGATGTGTTGCAATATATGTTTGCTTTCCTCAACTGAGCTCAAGAGGTTTCTCACAATATTCTGAGAGCTCAAGGTATAAGTGTGCAGAAAATTATCGATAATTTTCGGCGAGGCCCAGAGATGAATATCGCTCTCCTCAGATGCCCACCGTGTCGACGCTGGTGCATACCTTCCGTGGTATCATCGCTTGGGACTGCGCTGCAATTGCTGCTCATAGAGAGGTGCGTTGTATGTGAGGTAGATTGCAAGTCTAGAGGCGATATTCAGTACGTGTTAATTTGATATGCAAATGTGTTATTTTGTAGGACAAATTATAGTGAACAAGTTGTCGCTATCATCACAGTCCCAAACGGGTACTTTCATCACAACATATGTTCATAGCCATTGTTACATTGTATATGCGATATAGTTTAATCTTGGAAAAAATAACACACATCTGCATATCAAATTGACACGCACTGTCCAGTCCATAGCTATGCCTTCTAACCGCGAAAATGTGATCGTCTTTCCGCCTCAAATTCTTTTTCCCTGTGAATTTTTCTCCTCGCTGATTTTTGAAAAAATCAATCACTATAGAGCCAGGCTCAAAAATATCTTAGTCATATTTATGACCGGCTTCAAATGTGTGGACTTGTGGACTGCGTTTGTCGTTACTGGGCGATTTTAGGTCAACATGAATCCACCGACACACCCTGAGGGTTACATCGATTTCGCCTTCCTCTCTCCTCACAAGTTGCTGGGTGGGCCGGGCAGTAGCGGCATACTGCTGTGCAAGAGGAAGCGTCAAACGAATTCAATACCGACCATTTGCGGAGGCGGCACGGTCGAGTTCGTAAGCAGTAGAGGACATTACTATCTGTCGGACCTCGAGGAACGAGAAGAAGCCGGTCGGTCGCAGCTGGTGTTGGAATATATGTTTGCTTTCCTCAACTGAGCTCGTAGGTTTTCTCACTATTTTATGAAAAACTACATGATTTTGGGTATAAGTAAACAAAAATCAACGAATAATTCCGCAAAATTTCCTCAGAATTTCCATATTCCTAACAACACATGTAGTTCACCATGTGCATATATTCCCACACTGGTCGCAGCTGGTGTTGGAATATATGTTTGCTTCCATAAGCTGATCTCAGGACTAAGCTCGAGAGTTTCCTCACTTATTATAGGCGTTTATATACGAATTAGGGTAGAAATGTACAGAAACCAATGAGAATTTTCCGAATAATTTCATATAGTCGGCCACGCATGTAGTTGACCTTATGCGGATTTTCCCACACTGGTCGCAGTATTCGCAACTCTAATTTCGTCAAGTTTGAGTGTATCGACCATTCTTGGAATATATATGCTCGCTTCCCTGAGCTGAGCTCAGGAGTTTCCTCACTAATTATGCAGATTTACTGACGAATTCGGCTGGAAATCAACAAGAATTTTCCGAAATTTCCTAAGAATTTTCATAAATTTGAAATCACAACGTGCATATTTTCCCATACCGGAATCGACAGTTGCAAATGCGGTAGGAGGATTACAGGTCTCTCAGGCACCCCTGATATTCTCGGATGCATCCGAGCTGGCGCTGTATATCACATTCACACTTTACTGGGCATTAATGCAATCGCCGAGGACGAGGGTCGCATGGCGGCTCACCTCGAGAAAAAACTCCGTGGCAACAGCAAGATTCACATCTTGGGACCGAAAGTATGTCGTTGCGATAGAACTCAGACGGAAGCAAACAATTTTCATCAGGATCGGGCGCACTGCGCGGGAATAATATCGTTCAATATACTTTACAACGAGAAGAAGGATGATCATCATCGTCACGGTTTGTATGTTGCTGGAATCCTTGCGGTTTCCAATCAGGTTGGCAGATACTTACACTACAATTTTGTCGGTTGTGTTCTCAACGATGTTTTCGGCATTCAAGCTCGAGGCGGCTGCGCATGCGCTGGACCGTATGGGGAGGCTCTTCTCGGCCTCGGTGGCGTCAACGGCGAGCGGTTCGAAATGACAGCATGTAAGAGCTATTCACAGCCGTTGGTGTTTTTGTGTTATTCAGTGTCAACTCGCGACATGATCTTCAAGCCGGGGTTTGTTCGTGTTGGAGTTCACTTCACAATGACCCAAGAAGAGCTGGAGTATCTCGCAGATGCAATTCTGTGGATTGCCGAGAAAGGGTGGATGTTGATGCCGGCATATGAGTTTGAGCTTAGCTCTGGAGAATGGAAGCATTCCCACAGAGACGACGTCAACGTCATGAAGTAAAGCCCCGATCTTTGCTCGAACTTGCATGTTTATTGGTGATTCGAACGTTCGTTTTTCGTTTCTTAGGAATATTGCCGATAGTCTCAGCCCGTCGATGCTCCGGTTGCATGAACAAGAGCGCTCATGGGTGATGGAGTCGCCGAAGGTGCAAACTGACAAGGTTGCTCGGAATCTTTTTGATGACCTCGCGACTCCATCGGAGAGAGCAAGGCAGCCGATTGCAAGTCCGGCGATGCATAGAGACAATTTCACATCGGAAAAGCGGAGACTTAACCAAGAGATCAAGAAAGCCGATGAGCTCGCCAAGCAAGTCGCTGAGGAGGTAACCAAAAAGACGGCGTTTACAGTGTGTGTCAATTTGATACGCAAAGGTGCGGTATTTTCCGAGATTAATGAGAATCGATCTGAAACTATATCGCATATACAATGTAGCAATGGCTATGCACATATGTTGTGATGAAAGTACCCGTTTGGGACTGTGATGATAGCGACAACTTGCTCACTATAATTTGTCCTACAAAATAACACACATTTGCATATCAAATTCACACGTACTGTAAACATTATCTGAACGAATATTATTGGAGTTGATCATCGGGCTGATCGATCCTTCGTACGTACACTGTCCATTCGCCCGTTGTGAATTCCATTGCTTTTCAGGCCTTGACTAAACCCCGCGCAGATCCTCTCATCCCAGCGCAGCTCTCTAGCGTGCTGTGGTTCGCTCTTCCCATTGACACAATTTGGTCGTTAAAGAAATCCGGCAACATCGATCGATCAGAACCGCAGGTTTGCACCGACCTCAGCGCCCCTATCTTCACCAGACCGAGCAATCAGACAGGCCGAATATCGAGGTAACCGCACTAGCTGTGTTAAGATCGATACCACCTGCCCTCAGGAAAACCGAAGGTGTACTTAACGCACGTGTTTGGTCTGATCGAGCGCCAGCAAATATCGTGTCCTTACCGGTTAGTCTGCTATGCATTGCAGCATGCTCGATTATCTCTTTCAGATCCCTCAAGTTAAACCTAGTATACCGCAAATGCTCAAAATGATGATCGGCCAAAGAGTCGCTTGCCACGCCGAGAGGGATCGGCAATAGCGGCGTCATTGTTTCTTACAGTAAATTGTAGAGTATTTTCAGACTTCCTGTTCTTGATTTTCTCGTAGATGTATTTCCTAAGACCTCTAATCCATAAGGATTTATAGTCCATATACCTCATAATTCATATAAGTAATTTCGACGACTCGTCGTCCATTTGACTATTTGGATTCTTTTTGCCGCGGTGTGTCTGCAACCATGCCATGAGTGAGCCGTGTCGTCAAATTGTACTTTTCTGGTGAATTTCTGGTCTCTTGCGCTTGTGCAGTCTGGCTCGTCAGAGTGATGTTTAAAGGATCGATTCTTATATTCTCCGCGCTCCTTGAACGGAAGGAGTTGAAACCCCGATTCACCGACTAGGATCATAAAGCAATAATGATCATCCTCGGGTATGACTTTATTGAGAATGACAAGCCAAGTGTTGGTTCGGTTGTCACGACTGTACAATTAGAGGCGGTCTTTGGAACTGAGGCACAACTAGCAAAAAAATCAATCATTTATCGAGGCATCTGAGTAGCCGCATCGAAACACAGTGATTCTCACGATAAGGAGATTATTAATCCTAGAAAGGAGTACAGGAGCATCGTTCATATACTCTTTCATCATATTCATATACTCGATTGCTCATTGGGCGATATGCTACTCCCCATCGAGTACTTCATCATCGGATTCAAGTGATGTCCGAATCGGAGGGAGAAGAAAGGACTTCCATGGCCTCAGACTGGACCACTACGGAGACAATGGTTGTATCGTATGGAATACGAGAACGCGACTGTAGAACTCGAGGCCCTTTTGAGCTATGAGAAACCGTGGGTACAAAGACCATGACTTGTCATCCGGTGTATCAACGTCTTCAGTAGGGGCTGAATCGGAATGGAATCAACCCCCCCGAATGCAGAATTAATCAAATCAGTACCGAAAATCAGAATGAAACAAACGCATCGTGAACTCGCGATCGGCAACAGAAGCATACATGAACTGAATCACGAGTCCAGAAGGCAGACGGTGATTCCTTCCCGTGAGGGGTACACGTGGGAGGAGACTTTACCCTCGGGATGATGTTTTGACAGGCAGGTGTCTGGTAACCCCATAACACACCATTCATCAGACCATCGGTATCCACCTATTCAACATCGACGTTTATTCAGCTATCCCCTCCACCTCCGAGCGATAAGTGACGGTGCGAGCAGGCAGCACTGAGACTACTATTGATACTGAGACTTCCTTTACTCAACGGCCGCCCACTTCCACACTGAGCCATCCTATCACGCAAGGTTGCAAAACCATCGAGTTACTTTCCATCCAAAGCGAGTCGTCTATAGTGTGAGGGCAATCTACATCGAGCTGCTGGGGAATCTGTCTTCTCGATACAACTCGTTCGCTCCGTTATGTCATGTGGGCGCTCCTGTCGACGACAAAGAGTTGCAATGATATCCCTCTTCTGAACTTTGTGCACTCTTCAACGAGTTATATCTGAGCTGACGTTGATTCTCAACAGGCACCATTTGCGTCGCCCTCGCAAAGCGCTTGTTGTCAGGCGAGACTTTGTGGGAGCTCGGCTGCTCCCCGGTTAAGACAACTCAAATTACTGCTGAAAACAGTGATTTTGTACTCAATGAGTTCGTGGTCAAAAACAGCTTTCACGTTGAGCTCAATTGTTTTAACACCATTACGGGATTAGGTGTGATGCACGGCGAAACTAAGAGAAAGTGTTTTGCCCCGCTGACAAAAGTAGACAACAAAACTCAACCACTCGCGTGACAGAAACCACCACATGCACTTTCACCCGCCCCACTTGGGTACTCTATAATCATATCCATATCGATTAAAAGCATACTCGGCACTGTTCGCGATGCGCATCTGAGTGGGAAAAATCTTCGCTGTGCGAGGGGAAGTATCTTCACACCTTCTTGGAGAATCCTGTAGGCCAATAGCGCTTCGGCCACTCATGAGGATTCGCGTGGCCTCCACGTGTAGCACAGACCTTCTGGTGAACGACTTTGAAAGGCTTCCATTCAAGCCACCATCTTTCATACAGACCTGCGGAGAAGCGCTCTAGGGAGCTGCATCGAGTCGAATAGATGAACTTCGGATTTCTCTTGGTAATTGGAGATAGTTGCCTGGTAGTTGTTACCTTTCCCTCCCGGTCGGCCCATTTTATACCGCAGTCGCACACTGCTCAGGCACAGCATTGTGGAGGGGGAACCGAACCGCTGAACCAATGCCCAATGACCAATACTTTATCAAGAATTTAAAATTCGACCGAAAAAAGCGCACGCCCAAAAATGGCACGGAAGATATATATTTTTCCGAGCGAAATTCACCTGAGAATATTCAATTATTGAACATTATAGGAGACAATGAGTTTGTTGATATGAAATTTTGTACTATATTCACTACCTTGCAGAATAACGAAGTGTGCCTTTGGAGAACCTTTTCCCCACCGCCCCGAATGGCTCCGGTTCCACAAGAAACGCAACACTCGGTATACTCTCAGTGAAACTTGTGTGTTCTACTGACGACTCAAATCATAACAATAATCTTATCGCATTTACCGGCAACTTGAAACATTTTTCGCCGAATACGGTCTGCTCGTACAGCGATTTAAGGCTCTCTTACATCTCCGTCACCGATGAGGCTTACCCTGTACTCTCCTGATGCATCCGTCCGTCGACCTTCTGCGTCCAGCAGATGGAACCTCTTCCACCTTGCGAAAGTCGTTACCGCAACTCGTGTGTCAATCTCATGACATCCGATTAGGACCTCTCCAGCCGAACCCGTAATGAAAATAGATTCGCCCAATCGCATGTGCCGGAAAGTCGCACTTGGTGCGTAAATGCGATTTACGATGCGGAAAGGCTCTGTCGCGCACAGATAAATACACGCTTCGAGCCGCCTCTCGCCCAAGGAGAGCTCCTTGATATCGACGTTCACAGAGATTTTCTCGTCATCACCAAATCGCGGGGTAGAGGATCCATTTCCCCTAGGGCCCTCAGAGCAAGAGACAACGTCATCTAGAGAGACCAGTTCTGTTTCATCAAACTCTGACTCCCTCAGAGAGCTCCCAATGACCGGCACCGGTCGGTGTTCCGATTGGACTTCACTCAACCATGCGGAAGCAGGCTTGTGGTCTTTCTCGAATGGCGTCTCTCCCGAGCCTCGTCGGGTAAGATTCGGGACTCCAAGTCCCCTAGGAACGATCGATACGCTGCGTTCTCGCGTCGTGAGAGGCATTATGCCGACGCTTTCTTCTGCGCTCACCAATAGATGACTTCTATCCGTGATTCCCATCATACTAGCTGTTCCGAACTCATCTACCATTTCTTCAGAAACTTCCATCGCTCCTGCATCCAATGGGGTTGAGACTAGTCGAGCATCGTTATCCCTCAATGGGGTAGTCAATGAGATAGAAGCTCCACGACCATTGGAGCCCTTAGGGAGTGTGGCTGCGCTTGAACCCTCTCCACTTCGATGTAGTTCCCGTGATGCAGGACGGGGTGACAGCAGCAAGCTGCCAACGGGATGTAGTGCGACTGTATGCACCTTCCCAACTTCGAGCTTGTCCGGATTCAGCGGACCGAGACAAACCGCCGAGCCGTCGGAGTCAATCACAGTGCACACTATAACGCATCTTGTATCGAAGACGATTTTCACTTCGCTATCGAAGGTTGCGCAACGTTTCGGCTTAACTCTCTTGGTGTACCACGCATCTGTGTAAGACGCCCTCAGTAGCTCGTCAGCATCCTTCACAGGCAGCGAACATGCTGAGGCAGCTGTGCTACTCGAGCAAACGTCGAAGCGCACAAGGCAGACTTCCGATGGTGCTTCGCTGACACTGATAACTCTCAATTCCAGCTGGTTACGACTTTCATCGGACGTCTTGTATGATCCTGCCCCGATTTCCGCCGGGACTGCTAGAGCTTTGGCTGGTACCAAACTCCAGCTGAGATGGAGACACAAATCGTCGATATTTACTTCCACATGCGCAGGGTGCATGCTGGCCTTGTGAAGATATTGCGGCAGAAAAAGCTCTTTCTCATGTTTGTGAAGTTTGATGAAGGTGAAAGTCTCGCTGAGAGCTACTATCATCGACCGTCCCGATTCCAGCTTGAATCTGTGACATCCAATCGACATGTCCGACTCTCTTCCAGATAACCCCAAGTAGAGATAAATCCACGGTGATAGTTCGCATGTAACTTGAATGCGTGACCAACAGCAAGTTTTGCACAACGCTGATAGAGGTAGGGATATCGGACCACACTCCCGTGCGGTGAATCGGCTGAAGACAAGGCCGGCTTTCGAGGGATGCCCTCGAAGTAATAAGACCATTTCAGATTCGTTCTGATCAGTTGGTCCACTGAGCTCAATTCGCCCAGGCACTTTGCAATGTCCATCCGGCTCCTCACGCCAGAACGGAGCGAAGCGGAGCTCCGCGGTGAGTTCGTCATTCTCGTGCATCGGACACCGGAGCGACTCTTCCGGACGATCGATGGAGATCTTCCAGTTCACATATTCGCCGCAGGCAGGGCCTGGCGTTGGAACTGGTGGCGCAACGAAACCAGGTAGAGCTGGATGAAGCCGACAGCAGAAGCAGAGCTCGTAACGACGTTGCCGGTCTTGAATCCACGAGACGCATTCAGTATGCAACGGAGTGCTCAGTGTCAGTTCCGGGAGATCAAAGGTCGCTACTTCATGCGAGATGGGGTTACCGATGAATCTGAGAAAGTCGCTGAAGAGACCTCTGCATCGTTTCACTTAGTGTGTTGTACTTAGTATGTACTTAAAAGCATGTACTTTGTGTGTCCTTACTATGTACCTAGTATGTACCTTGTATGTACTTAACATGTACTTTGCATGTCCTTAGTATGCACGTAGTATGTACCTTGTATGTACTTAACATGTACTTTGCATGTCCTTAGTATGCACGTAGTATGTACCTTGTATGTACTTAGCATGTACTTTGTATGTCCTTAGTATACACGTAGTATGTACCTTGTGTGTACTTAGCATGTACTTTGTATGTCTTCAGTAAGTACGTAGCATGTACTCAATGTGTACTTAGTATGTACTTGACATGTGCTTTGTATGTCCTTAGCTTGTATGTACTTCGTATGTCCTTAGCATGTACTTTGTATGTCCGTAGCTTGTATGTACTTAGCGTGTACTTTGTATGAAATACTACTTGAGTTACCATCATTAAACCAATCTGATTTAATCGAATGTATTGCGCTATATATACGCCTCATCGAGCAATGAGGTATTAGTCTGTATATGACTACATAGGCAACTCCTCGATAAGCCCAATCCAGTCGAGAACTCTTACCGGCGCTCCTTTTTTATCAGTCTCGCAATCGTCTTTACCTTGTCATCGGGGTGGTTCATCGAGATCTCGCTGGTAGTGACTTCGATAGGAGCTGTAATTCCTTTCCCCGGTACAGAAAGATAGTTGGGCTTATCAAATTCGCCGATCACGTTGAATTCAATAAGGTAGTTTTCATCAAATTGCGATTCTTCCGGTCCCTCCAGAGAAGTAGCATAAAACTGACTGACATAAACTATCGCTCGAAACTCACAGAGCACCTCACCTGAACGAGGGTCCATCTCTCTACTTCAACCCTCAGCATAACCACAGGATTGCATTCCTCATGAGTGCTACGTATTGGCACGCGAATGTCCGCGCCTTTATGGTAGAAAACCTGTGGTGGGAGGGGTAGTTGATTCGAGGCTGTGAGAGGCTGACCTCGTCTAGCCATGCAGCTTGTTCGTCACTCTGACCGATGAGGACATCAGCTACAACTCTCCTTTTTTCCCAAACTTCGACTTTGAAGCGGATTTCTCGCTTGGATATCCTTTCTATGATATGAACATCATCCCATACAGGATCGCGGCAGTCATGTGCCACTGCAGTTTTTATAATTTCGTCGTCGAAGAAAACCTTCACGTACGCATCGCAGCGCCCACCGACCCACTTCTCGTCAGACAGATCAGGCAGATCCGACGCTCCTGCTACTCTTACTTTCACTCGGTAGCTGTGATGTTTTCTGTCGCCCCCGAG